GTAGATAGTATACTATAAGTATTTCTTGTGTGTGCTTTTTAAGAAGTCGCACTCTCACCAATCACAGCAGAGGTCAAACTCGTCCGCTTGTGCCTTGGGGCTCACTCTCGAGCCCTGCAAACAGCCGCACAGCCACTAATAGTAAAGACAGAATAACGTTACCATCAAATACCAAGGATTTGAAAAAGTGACAACGGCAGAATTTATTTGTACGGACCATTCGGTTCCAAAAAAGCCCATTTTTTATATCTTAAACCCTTTAAGGGAGACAATATCTCAAATAAAATTAAGCGAAGACTACGGTGTTTCATACAGAGAACGTACTATGCAGGCGAACTTTTGTTTCTCACTCCAACTAAAAGCCCTCCAGTTAACCGGTCAAAGGAAGCCTTGTTCGTGCACACCACGCCAAACTACGTCTATGAATTCACCTGCACTTGCGGATGCAAGTACATTGGGCGTACGCAAATGCAATTGGCGACCAGGACTGGTGAACGCTTGCCTGCTTGGCTTTTAAAACAAGAAAAAAAGTGCCACGGTCCTCCATTACAAAACACTTGTTAAACAATGGTCACTCTGTTGATATCAACACATCTTTCCGAGTTCCTGTTCGAGCACGAACAAATCGGACCTTGCACTAAATGGAAGCAGCCTACATACGGCGGGAGAAACCCGACCTATGTAAGCAAGTAGACCATGTGGTTAGTCTTCAATTGCCCTGGTAAATGCATACCACACTTTTATTCTGGTTAATTGCCCTCCATACTTTTCTCCCCAAGTTTAAAGTTGACATTACTATTGACCATTTGCCACGTTAACATGACCTTGCTATTATCGATTCTTTGAAATTCAAAATGACGTGTTCTCCAAATACTTTGTTATTCAGGCAAAGACAGGAAGCGGTTGATAAGCTCTCTCGAAATTTATTTGTAGAAATAAATGCTGCCGTTGCCACTTGCTTCAAATTTGTACCTGGGAAAAATGCTTTGAAAATACCAAGGAGACTGTAAAGGCCACATCTAGTTTATTAGCCATCATCAGCCAACCATACACACAACCCCAAGTTTTGCAAGCTCTGACATTCGAATTCGCCATCTGTTGGTTAGAAGTCCAACGCACTAACCATTGAGTCACGGGTTCGTTCTACCAATCTTATGAATCATTAACCAAAATTCTTTAATTTTTTTTCAGTAAGAAAAGATTACTTAAACGGGGGTTGTAATACTGACCATCGTGTGGTGTAATTCCGTGTTATTTTAGACACACCAAGAGGTCGGTTTCTGAATGCATTTCTTTTCCGCCGCCTGCAAACAACGTGCTTCATTAAAAAACACTAGTTAATCGTTTGCGTTTTTTCTACTGATTGGCTCGTGGCCTTATGAACTGAAATTGAGCACCTAATGCAACTCTTCGT